GGGAAGCTGCTCGGTCCGGCGTGACTGCGTAGTGCGTGCGTGCGTGGACTGGGGACTGTGCCGGATATTTCGCGGCCCGGCTGGCATTTATCACTGGCACTGCGGTATGTACTGTCAAACAGCTGTGCGCCGACTCCTGCAGTTACGCCAGTGAGACCTCGGTCTGCCATATTGCAGACGGTAGTACGCAGTTATCTGTCCGGGAATATGCCAGCAGAGTCGCTCGTCTGGATATAATCTGAACGGCATCATATCGCAGACAGTGTGTGCATCTCGCAATGCGTTTGCACAATACGAATTGCAATACTGCCAGTTCATGCAGTGGCGATAGCGCGCTATGCGTCACAGCTGCCGCCGGCCGAGGCCACAGTTCAGAGACGGACTGTTTCACAGTTCCACAGGCTTGTGGTGGTCACAGTCCAGAAACAGCCGAGCACTACGAGGGGCGTTCAAAAAGTTCTCGGCCCGACCATGAAGGAGCAGAGATACGATGTTGACTTATTAGACCAAAAATGTTCATTTAGTCAAATAACCACCGCTAAGACAAAAACATTTCGCGCAGCGCTTCGCGAGAGGCCCCTGGGCCTCCATAGCCAAGTGGGTTTTGGACGCATCTGGCACGTCCAAGACGGCTGCTTTTGTCTCCTTGCTGTCAGCGAAGTTGCCACTGCTAAGCAATTTCCTTATGTTGCTGAAGAGGTGGCAACCTGAGGGTGCAAGGTACGGAGAAAAAAGTGGCTGCGACAACAACTCGAGGCCAGAGCTCACTGCTTCGCTGATCGCCACCCTGCTCACGTGTGCTGGTGCGTGGTCCTGGATCAGGCGCACATTTTTAGTCAGCTTCCCTAGTCTCTCCTTGATATCTGCTGCTCGCTACTGTTATCGAAGGAAGGTGTGGTATTCTTATCATTAATTGTGCGCCCCTGTTTTAGAAAGTTGACGAGCAGAGCCCCGCCAGGCTCCCAAAATGCAATCACTGTCACCCTGCCGTCTGACTTAAACACGTTGCACACATTTGGTGGCCTTTACTCAGTGTGCTTCCACTTGTGCAACTCGGTCACGCCCTTAGGGTCAACGTGTGACACCCACAATCCCTCCACGGTAACAAGTAGTTCAATGAACTCTTTTGGATCTTCGATCTAGGGACCAAAATTTTCGCGTTACGCCTCCTTTCGAGTTTGCCTTTCCTCTGGAGTCAGCAAACGGGGGATGCATCTTGCAAAGATCTTAAACATATTAATACGCTGTCGAAAAATGGCTTTGAGGAACCTTATAGACACCTCCGCTTCTGCTGCGTTGTTCCAGACCAGAACATTTGTCATTTTTCACAAAGAAGTGCTTATTTTTCATATTTTCTTGAGTCAATGCTGTTGATGGCTGGCCACTGCGGGGGTGACCATTAATGATCTGTTGACCAAAATTGAACAGAGATGCCCACTTTTTGACGCTACTGTAAGAAAGACAAACCTCAACATGTGTTGGCACTAGCTTTTCGTGAATAACGTTTAGAGCATTTTTCTGCAATGCATGAACCAAATCACTGTTCTCTTCTGGGCGTCGCCCATTCTGACCGGGAATGGCAAACTATGTTACGATTAATTAGCAGCCTGAAGCAATCACAGGGCAGATTGGTTAATGGCTACGTAAGTGGACATCCCAATAACACATCATTGAACACACCGCGTTGCAGGCCGAAATTCCAACTCCTTCATGGTTGGGCCGGGAACTTTTTGAACGCCCCTCGTACAGTTCAGAGACGCGCCGGGCCGCAGTCCGTGAATTGACCGTTGCCAGCCCATGGACGGAACTGGGTCACCGTCCAGGCGCAGAGCCCGCACCCTGCGACCTGCGCAGTGCGCACTGCACCCTCCTGGACCGGAACGGACACGAGTGTCTGCCTCGAGATGGATTGAGCTGTGAGATTTCACCACGGTCATAAGGTAGTCAATAAACGATCGTAGCGGCGTAATGAGTGGGTTGTGTAATCTCATGACCGCGGGCGTCTTTGTACTGCAGCGGACTACTTCCTGGTGACGTCCTGTTGACCTTCTGCATGGGCCCGGCTCTGTTCCGGAATAACTATGTCAGGATAGACCAAAGATCTTCGCCATTCTGTTATATTTCTATTTATTCGGCCTACCTAAATATTCGTTATCAGGGTCTAGCTACTTTTTCCCAGATTCCCAGCTCCTTTTTCCCAGCTCCTTAGAATTTCATCGAGCGAGGTGCCAATGCGGTAAATTCTTGTCGTATGTAGGATGCGCCCCGTCTCCCCCTCTTCTAATCCCTGAGACGTTCTGGCCGCAGCGCTCTGTCGCCTCTGCGGAACCCCGCCCCGCCCCGCCTCCTCGGTTCTGAAAACGGCTGATCATGCTTACATCTCCGGCGACATCAGCCTGCCGGCAGCAGCGCCCGTGCTGCCCCTCCGCTCTGAGCAGCCCATTGGCCGGCGGTGACGCCAGCTCGGCGGACCGTGACGTCAGCAGGGCTCTCCGGCCGGCGCGGTAAGCGGGGATTTTACCTGGCTCTGCCGAAATGTGAGGGTCCAGCACGCACCTGCGTATGTACCCTGCCCCACCGGTCGGCGGGCGTACCCATCTGTCCCCACTAATCCCTCGGTGGATGCTCCGGCGCGGGCGGACCCGGGGAGCCCTCCCCTCAGAAGGAGGGTCGACAGCCAGTTCTCACCGGTTTTCAGCGGTATGCACGCGAGCCCGGCCCGGCCTGACCCCTGCGGAACGTAACAAACGGGCCATAGAAGCGGTCAGACGCGGGGCAGTGGCCCGGTCGGAGAGCCGCAACGTGGCGACCATGGACGCAGCGCAGGCCCGGCCGTAGAGCGGCGACTTTTGCACATCATCATACCGACAGGCTGGTTATTATAATGCAATTGGAAACGGCAAATGGATTCCGTCTAGTTGGCGGCCAAGTCCCGTTTCTACAGGGCATCGGGATGTTTCTCGGCACCCTCGACAGCACGTGCCATTTTGCCGCTCTAGAACGATCGGAGCATGGGCGAGGGAATGATCCGTCCCGCCGATCTGTCTCGTTTCCAATCGAGATAGAACTTCACACAAAAGAATTATCAGATTCCTTAGGATGTTAGTCAGTGACATCCTATTTTGTTCCTTAGGCCGAAACTCCGCCCTCTCCGTTCGGCTTACGTAAAGTGCGGCCCCGTTTTCCATCTTACGGCAGTCGTTATGTATCAGTGCTGGGTAATGTTGTTTTGTGGTGTCAGTTGCGATGTGTTTTTATGTCCGTGACCGGTCTGTTTGGTCCGGCCGGCGCTCCCCGGTCCGCCGGTGCCTGTTCCCGGTATCAGAGGCTCGTCCGAGGTCCCTGCAGCCCTGGCAACAGCGCACAGTAACCGTCCCTGCCGGCCGGTCCGCCGGTCCGCCTACCGACAGTGCCCGAGCTGCCAACTCACGTGACGCCCGGCCAGAGTGCAGCGGTGGGGGGGGGGGGGTCACTCAAAGTCCCATCGCACCCACCGGACACCGTGACTCGTCACAATGTCACTATCGGTCAGCGGCAGTATCGGCTGAACCTAGGTAAAGTCATGGTCAAGTGGCCCTCTTTGTATCGTTCGGCCGATGATTTGGTTTCACTTGGTTACTGGTTAGTGGTCATTGAAGATCGGCGGTCGGGGGTTACCTGAGTAGCATGGATCGTCCGTACAATGCACAACACAGGGTCGTTGTTTTCATGAGTGGGATCGATAAGAGTCATACCTACCTACCTTATGGAAGCATAGACATTGCAGTGCCATTTTGACAGAGGTCGGAAAATGACATCGCAGGATCGGAGAGGAAGTCGAGTCCGGGGAGGTCGGGTGCTCGAACCGTTCAAAGATTAGCGTCTCCGCCTAATGTCCCCAGAGCGGCGCGGATCAAATAACCACCCCCAGGTTCTCCCTCAATAAGCTCAGGTTTCCGGCGTGCGGGACGGGACATTCCGTCGGTATCCTCATTAGTTCTTCCCCGCATCCTACGAAAGAATATTGCCTCCTGCCCTGCCGCGATTCCCTGCGCGTTGTCGCTAAGCCACGCTCGTCGATGTTTGGTGTCCGGTGTCGGCTGCATGTTAGCCAAGTTCGCGGCTCTGTCCTGTATCCGGTGCGGTGCAGTTTTTACCGGCGGCTGCCTGGTTACCCGGCCAGTGTCCCGCGAATCGATGGCCGCGGCACGTCAGAGGGCGATCGGCGGTGGCGGTGACGGCTCCTCGAGCACGCCATCGGGACTGGCCACCCGGACGGCTCGATATGGGACCTTGGACGGCTCCGCACAGCTAATAGCCCCGGCAGAGACATGGCTAATAACCCAGCAGAGACCTAATAATCCAGCAGAGACATATTATCAGCCGGCAGCCGGGAACATGTCAACCTGTGAGTTTGAGCGCTGAAGCTCGGACGTCTGGGGAGTGAACAGCGTCTTATATGGGCGCCCAGCTCCGATCGATGGCTGAAGCGTGTGGACAGGGCATATAGAGGTGATCACAAACTGCGGGACAGTCACTCTGAATCCATGAATCTTTCGTACGCGAATGGTCGGCTCACACGGCTCTGCCCCCCCCCCCCTCCCCCCGGTAAATTGCGAAATGCGAGACATTTCGTTTGTCTTGCCGGTAAAATACAAGCCGCGAGTATTTCAAGGTGAATGAATGTTTCCTAACGAGTGTTTGCCGCTTATTGCTCGTGTGCTTTATGCGCAGCGTGAAAATGTTTATTTTACGTTTCAAAATCAGGCTAAAGTGAGAATCATGTCGTAGCTAGTGCCCTGTCGTAATCTTATCTCGTTTAAGGACGGTCCATGCATCATGATATATAAACAAAACTTCTAAATGTTTGATTTATAAGGCTCTGGCAATGTTTCGTAAGTTCCAGCGAGAAACTGTAAGCTAAGCAGTCCTTGGTGTTTGGTAAGATGCATGAGGTGCCCCGCCCATCCATTGAGTCTCGATGCCGCAATCAAAGTGGCGCTGCACTCAAAAGATGTGACTATAAATTGACATGTGTATTTTATCAGCATACAAAATCGCACAAAATGTAAACTTCATGCACACACGCCTCAATGATCAACACACTTCGACGTAGAGTTTTGATTCACAAACTCCGATGATAGTGACAATAAACAACAACAAGTGTTCACACTGGTCGCTCGATCCATTTGGCATATGTGGCGCGCGTGCGCCGTAACACTATATCACATTATGAGGGCGCAATGTGGCACATGAGACACAAACACATGGGAATACTGCTGAGGCGACGGTGGCGCCCGCCGGCCGCTATATCCTCATCTCGCTCTCTGAACTCGATGACGCGCCGGCCATCAGGTGGGAGCGGTGGTGCGCCGGCGCGCCGGCCAGTCCTCGCGGCACGTGCGGCGACATGGACGGTGACCGGGTGGCCAGCGGGCTGAGGGCGGGGGAGAAGGAGGGCGACATGGCCTGCGCGGCGAACACGTCGTGCGAGATGGGCGAGCGCGCGAGCGAGGGCATCGTCACCAGGCCTCCGCTGAGACTAGAGCGCGGCGCCACCGGAGCCGCCACCGAGCGCGGCGCCACGTTGGTGAGCAGCGGCGGCGGCTTGGGCACGCTCACCGCGTACGGGCTGGGCGCGCTGTCGTCCTTGAGCCGCGCGATCTCGGAGAAGACGTGCGCCAGCGGCTGGTACTGCGGCCCCCAGTTGAGCAGGTAGTCCCAGTTGTAGCTGCCCGTCAGCTCCTCCTCGCTATGCACGATCGAGCTCAGCGAGCCGGTCATTGACGGCTGCGTCTCGTCCAGGCCGAACGCGCGCGTGCCGTCCATGATGGCCTCGTTCTCCTCCGCGCCCACCGCCGTCAGCTTGGACGAGATCAGGTTGCCGAGGTCGACGGCGCCGTCCTCGGCCCCGCGCTCATCGTCGAACATGTGGATGCTATCGGCGCGCAGACTCTGCGATCCCTTGTGGGACGAGTCGGCGCGGGAGGTGTCGATGCCCAGCCGCGCCAGGTACTCCTGGGTGTTCTGCGCGCTCGCCTCGGACAGGTTATCCTCCTCGTGCAGCGGCGTCTCGGGCACGGCCAGCTGGCGCAGCTTCTGCTGCATCAGCGGCCCCTCGTTGATCATCCTGATCTCCTCGTCCTCGTCACCGTCCTCTGCCGAGCCGCGCCCGGAAGAGGCAGAGCGGTGCGACTGCTCGGAGAGCTCCGAGGTGGTGTTCCGGCCGGCCGGACGGTCCGCAGTGTCGTACGGGTGGTGGATCTCGCTGTACCGCGGCGGGTAGTTGAGATCCGCCGCCGGGCCCGTCCGGATGTCCGTGTCAAACGACGTGTCAAAGTGGTCAGCCATGGTGGGTTTACTCATTCGTCTGTTCCGCATGTGCAGGAACACAAACGCTGCGCCGAACGCCATCACGATGAGGATGATAGCCACCAGCAGTCCGACGCCCCAGTCGGCCAGGCCGCCGCTGCCGGCGGTCGCGGGCAGTCCCGTGCCGTTCAACGCCGGGTCCAGCACCACCTCGACGCTAGCCAACGCACTCAGACTTCCCGGCCGGCCGCTAGATGCCACGACCTCGAGCCGCTCGCTGGCCAGGTCGCGCTTGGTCCGCCGCCGCTCTCCAAGGCTGCGGCGCACCACGATCTCGCCACTGGTCTTGTTGACGCGGAAAAAGTCGTGCGGCGCGCGCAGGTGGTAGACGACGACGCCGTCGGCGCCGCGGTCGCGGTCGGTGGCGGCCACCCGACCCACCACGTGGCCGGGCTGCCCGTCGGCCGGCGCGCGGAACCGGTACGACGACTCGACAAACACGGGCGCGAACTCGTCCACGCCGCGCACAGTGACACGCACCTGGGCGGTGGCCGTGCGCCCGCCCAGGTCCGTGGCGAAAATGGTGAACGCGTACGCCTCCTTGGCCTCGTAGTCGAACGAGGCGGCGGTGGTAACGGCTCCGGAGCTGGGGTCCACCTGGAACCAGCCGCCGCCGTCCTTGAGCGTGTAGTTGAGCCGGCCGTAGCGGCCGCGGTCGGCGTCGTTGGCGTGTGCCGTGAACACCAGCTGGCCGGGCGGCTCGTTCTCGGCGGCGAACTCGTAGTAGACCGGCTGCGGGAAGCTGGGTGCGTTGTCGTTCTCATCCAGCACCCGCACATGTACCGTGGCCAGGGCGGAGAGCGGCCGGGTACGGTCGCGGTCGGTGGCGCGCACGATGAACCGGTACTCGGGCAGCCGGTCGAAGTCGAGCCGCTTCTGGAGCCGGATGGCGCCCGTGTCGCGGTCGAGTGTGAACACCTGATGGTCGTTACCGGACGTGATGTCGTACACGATGGCCGCGTTCTGGCCGGCGTCCCGGTCGGTGGCGTGCACCCGGAGCACCGTGGCGCCCACCTGTGGGGAGAGCGGAGGGATGGGTCAGTGGCTGCGGGCTGAGGAGGCGGCAGTCTGCTGGTCAGTGGAATCGCACTGCTGTCGGGTTCGAGGGACGTGTTAGGTCAGTGATGGACCACTAACGATAAAATACGGACACTGGCGAGTGGCGGACAACGGACTGTGACATATAATCAAATAAAACGCTTTACTACGCTGCATGTTCAATCTCCCTTCTTGCCTTACATAGCCAGGAAAATGCTAACGATATGCAGTGCTGATGGACGCTGATTTATAAGACTGTACTACACCCATATCAAAATACCAGGCTGACACTGACAGCTCTGCCCCCGTCTCTGAGCTCTGCCCTGTCCCCCTGCGGTGCCGCCGTCGCCGCACCTGGAGCTCCTCGCTGACGCTGGCCGTGTACTCGGTCTGGTTGAACTTGGGCTCGTGGTCGTTGACGTCTGTGACGTCGATGACGACCTGCGCGGTGGAGTTGCGCGCCGGCGTGCCGCGGTCGCTGGCGGCCGCCTCCAGCACGTACTGGGCGCGCCGCTCCCGGTCCAGCGGGCGCAGCAGGATTATCTCGCCCGTGTTACTGCGGAGAGGGGGAGGTCAGGTCAGACTTGGTACTGTGAGGGAAGATATAATGAATCAGGTCATTGCGCTAGAGAGCAGGGTGGGTCAGGTCAGTCATGAGAGGGCTTGGCGAGTCAGGTGTTATTACTACGTGAGGGCAGGAGTAGATCAGATCACCCATGCTACTGCGGTAGGGGGGAGGAGGTCAGGTCAGCCAAGGAACTAAGGGAAGAGTGGAGTCAGGTCGCCCGTGGAAGAGAGGTCAGTTCAACCGTGGCAGTGGTGGGGTGGAGTGATCCTTGCTGTCCGTATTACTGTAAGGGGAAGGGTGGAACAGGTCCCCAGGCCGCCGGTAACCTCCCCTTCCATTACGCTGATCATTGGTCACCGTCGCTCACCTGGTGATCTGAAAGACGCCGTCGTCGTTTCCGCTGGCGAACGAGTAGTCGATGTTCCGGTTGTGCCGCGACTGGTCGACGTCGTCGGCCGACACGGTCAGGATCACCACTCCCGGCACGGCGTCCTCGCCGATACTGGCCCTGCGGCACACGCAGGTCACACGTCGGGTCAGGTACGGGGCACACTTAGGTCACACATTGGGTCAGATACGGGCTCCACATGGGTCAAATTTGGGTAAAATACGGTTCAATATTGGGTAAAATATCGGGTCAAATACGGGCCACATTTGGGTCGTTGAAGTACATGAGCTGCTCCTGGTTAAAAGGAATATTTGCAAGTCATATCATTCGCCGGTCATGATGATGGCAGGGCCAGAACATATCACAGACGGGTCAGACCGTTCTCACGCGGAGTCACATGTCCCGTGCATGGACGACGGGGCGTGCCGTGACCTCGGGGCGTATCCCGAGTGCCGACGGCATTCCACTCTCAGCTGCTCCGTTCTGCGTCTCCAACGAGCGTGATCACCGCATGGTTCGTCCCCGATGACGTAATTTACTCGAGGTCGGCCCGACCGCTCCGACCCGGCCAAATAAACACAGCGGTAGGAGCTGCTCCGACCCGCGAGCCCGCGCTTCGCCGACAAAGCAAACAAAACCAGATTTTACTGACCGGGTGGAAAAAGCCAGCGGAGTTCTGAGTCAGGACCAGACCAGATCCCCTCCCCTCCCCCGCCGCCACTCACTTGTAGAGGGAGCGGCCGAACTCTGGCGCGTGGTTGTTGATGTCCTCGATACGCAGTCGGACGGCGGCGGCGGCCGTGAGCGCCGGCCGGCCGCCGTCCCGCGCGCCGATCACCAGCTGCCGAGTCGGCCGGTCGGCGTCGAACCGCACGGTGGCGTTGGTAAACAGTCGGCCCGTGGCGGGCTCCACGTAAAAGTCGGTGGTGGGGGTGAGTAGGGAGTAGGTGATCCGAGCGTTATCGTCCAGGTCCGCGTCCGAGGCAGACACTTGTAACACCTGTGGAGGTGATGGGGAGGGGAGTCAGATCGGATTCATTATGGCGGTGCCGTCTGGTCAGAGGCTGGACGAGAACATCTAGCTCTTCACAATCCCAATCTGACGATAAACGCACATTGCTAGCGCTATACAATTTCCATGAGATATAATCATCCAGTTATTTCGGTGACCAATAACTGAACACATCTGACAGAGCTCTGGCACACTCGCGCGCCTACTCCGGCCGTTCCGCACCCCTCTCCTCCGCTGGTCACCCACCTCCTGCCCGGGCCCGGTGAGCTCCAGCAGCGTGCCGCTGTACGACGTCTCGGAGAACACGGGCGTCTGGTCGTTCTCGTCCACCACGTGGATGTGCACGCTCGTCTCGGCCACGTGCTCCGTGTCCGAGGCGGTCACCATCAGTACGTACTGGTCCTGGGTCTGGGGGAGACGAGGGGCGGTCAGTGGGGAGAGAGAGCTGAGACCCGCCGCCACCCGCTGCCGAATGGCGCCCTTATGTTGGAGCGTAGTTTATGGTCCGTCCAGTGAGATTTAACATTGGCACGAACATAGCAGAGGTTGTAATGTACGATGCTGCAACGGCAGGTCACGTGGTGCAACGGCTCATGTATTCCAGGTAGCCGCGACATGTGACTTGTTAATAATCTTTAATCGCTCTTGTTGGACGTTACGCTACAGGTAATTCGATTTTTATGGCGTGTTCCCGCTTATCCACTGACATTGATGACACAACATGACGTGCAATAACGATAAGATTAAATTATTTCATTGAAGCTGTGTGAAGAACATGTTGCGGCCTGCGAGTGATTTCTGCGGCAAAAGCGACCGCCTCGCAGAGGGTGCGCCGTTGGCCGTCGGCCAATGCCCGAATCCCCCTCTGTACCCTCGTCCGGTGTCCCAGCGCCACCCACCTCTCTGTCGAGCGGCTCGATGAGCGTGATCCGGCCGGTGAAGCGGTCGATGGCGAAGGCCTCCTGGCGCGCGGCGCCGCCGGCGAAGCTGTAGGTCAGCGCCGGGCTGGTGTCGACGTCGTTGGCGGTGACGGTGGTGACGACGGCGCCCACCTGAGCGCCCTCGCTGACGTTGGTGACAGAGGTGGGCGGGAAGGTGGGCCGGTTGTCGTTGATGTCGATGACGCGGATGTGCAGCGAGCAGTGGCCGACGCGCTGCGGCCGGCCCTGGTCGCTGGCGATGATGGTCAGCTGGTACTCGTCGCGGATCTCGCGGTCCAGCACGATGTTGGTGCGCACCACGCCCGACGACGGCGACTCCATGACGAACGCGTTGTCCAGGTTGCCCTCGACGATGCTGTAGACGACGTTGGCGTTGGCGCCCGTGTCGGCGTCCGTGGCCGAGACCTGGGGGAGGGGGAGACATCAGCGCCGGAAAACGACAGAAACGGAACCGGAAACTAACCGTTTCGAGGAACTGCCAGCCATTTACAAGTTGGATTTCGTAATGTGGGCTCATTATACGACAAAAACTCTGCAATGAAACATCACATGCCCAATGTAGTAACGCTTTACGACCCATATAATTCATATTTTTAAACCTCGATATCGTATCGGGTCATTTTTCGGTAATAAAGTGGCAGTAGTAACTCCCGTATTTGGTCTGATGGACACATACAGCGTTTTATTGCCGTCTGGTCACTGCTATCCCTGTCGGAAGTGTGTCAGTTCCGCTCGGCCTCACCTGTACGACGAAGGTGCCCTTGCTGTTGCCCTCCCAGACGGCGCTGATGTACTCCTCCTGGGTGAAGCGCGGCTTATTGTCGTTCCGGTCGAGCAGCTCCACGTACACGGCGGCGTACCTGGCGGCGGACAGACGCGAGCGGCGGTCAGAGGAGTGGCATAATAAACGGGGCAGGTTTCAGCAGCTTTTCCTGAACATTCAGTCTTGAGTTCAATAGAAACTGATTGACTGTCCTATAAGGACAAATATTCGACGCTTTTTCTCCCAGTGAAACTGGTGCCCAGCTCACCCGTAGAGCGGCGTGGTGCCCTCGGTTTGCGCCACCACGATCAGCCGCAGCGTCCTCTGTCGCTCCGAGTCGAGCACCGCCGGGTCGCGCACGCGAATCAGCCCGTTGTTGGCGTTGATCTCGAAGGTGCTGCCGTCGTTGCCGGCGCCGAAGCGGTAGGTGACGCGCTGCCGACGGCCGTCGCTGCGCACCGCTGTCACCTACGGGCGAGACGGAGGGGTCAGTCAGTGGCGGCGGAGGGCGGGGTAGGTCATTGCCAGAGCAGATTGGAAGACAGTGGTGGTGACGGCGGCGATGGGTATCGTCTGGCGATTTTGGCGATGACAATGGTAGCCTGGTTGTGACGGTGGCGGTGGTTATGTACGACAAAATAATTATCAGGTCAGCCGTGGGGCCATCAGCGTCACGAAAGCAAAATCTCCATAGGCGCTTAGGCATAATGCAATGGAGTGCTACCTTTTTATTCAATTTCACTCAATGTGTTATAGTCGTAGTTTTTATCCTTACCTTGCCAATCGGTAGTCGGTATAGCAACGACCGATATCCAGGTAAGTCCGTTCGACCCCTCCGTACCTGTACGACGTCGCTGCCGGCGGGCGCGTTCTCCTGGATGCCGACCCGGTAGGTGCTGTTCTGGAAGCGCAGCGTGGTCTGGCCGCGATCCTCGCCGACGTAGATCTGCACCAGGCCGGCCGAGGACTGAGGCGGGCTGCCGCGGTCCCGGGCCACCACCTGCACGGACGGGCAGACGGGTCAGGGCGGGTCAGGCTGCTTCAGATTGTGCTGGTAAGTGCAGGCCATATCAATTCGGGTCAGGTCATGACAGTTTCACAGTGGGTGAGGTCAGGTTGGTAGTCACCAAGGTAAGCACGTGATGCATATATCCACTTCGAGTCAACCGAGAGTCGGCTTCGGGCTTAATAGCTAAGTCTGGGTACCAAGGCCTCGAGGTGACAAAGTTGTCACATTACGGATCCCCTGTGATAATCTGTGATGGATAACAGGCGTTCCTTACCTCCAGGTGGAAGAGTCGGCCCTGCTCAGTGCCCAGAGAGCCGGTGGTTTTCACCTCGCCGGTGATCCGGTCAATCCCGAACAGACTGTTGGCCGGCTGGTTGGCGAAGCTGTCAGCGAAATGGGCGCAGCGTTATTCGTCAATACACCTCGGAGCCCTCTAGACCAAACTCCAATCGATCCTGACCATCGACAACAGTTCTCTCGACCCCACTCCGTCCGACTTCACATGGTTCTACCCCAGTTCCGCTCTACCCCGCTGTACTCCAATGCCTCTTTATCCTCTCCCCCGATCCGCATGACCTCAGTTCCGCTCAGCCCCAGTTCCTCCCGTACCTGTATGTGACCTGTCCGTTGGCGCCCAGGTCCTCGTCCTCCGCCGTCACGTTGACCACGGTCGTTCCGGGCGGAGTGCGCGCCGACACGGCGGCCGTGAACGGGTACCGCGTCAGCACCGGCGCGTGGTCGTTGGCGTCGTCGATGATGACGGTGACAGTGGCGCGCCGCGAGCGGGCGTTTGACCGGCCGCCGTCCGTGGCCTGCACCTCGAACGTGTAGCGCGACTGGCGCTCCCGGTTGAACGTGCTGTGGGAGCGAGAGTCGCTGTTAGGAGGTGGTGCAGTGGCAACATAGCCTGTGAGGGTGGTCACCTGAGTGCTGATTGCCGATCTGGGAGAGAACTCCCCATTAAAGTTCAACTAAATAAATCAAACAGCAGAATCTCGTATTCCGACCTTACGCCAGGCAGCTTAACTGATCTATCCCCGAGCCGTATCCCAGGATCAGCTGTTCCACCCCTGGCAGTCCGTACCCTGCGGTGGTGATTTTGCCGCTGTCGTTGTCGATCCGGAACCGCCACTGGGTCTCGTTATTGAGGCTGTACGTGATGTGACCGTTCACTCCCAGGTCGTCGTCGATGGCCCGCACGGTGAGCACGGCAGTGCCAAGCGGCGCGTCCTCAGCCACGTGAGCCTGCAACAGAAGCGAAATGTGAACAGGTCCTGAACAGAGAGACTCAGATAAGACAGAAGCGATCAGTGAGCAGGGAGCATTGAGGAAGGAGGTTAATTGGGTGATGACTCAGCGTTGACCGGGGTGAAACAGACATGTATGACGGAGACGGTAAACTCGACGGAGACTGAGTTTACCGAAACACGCCTCTTTCACACATCCCGTCATTAGTCTCAGGCCTTGTACTCAGTGCTCAGGTCTCATACACACGACTGGTCGGTGCTACATTGCCCGTTGCGCGGCACTCCGCAGCCCTCACCTCGTAGCTGTTGTGCTGGAACACGGGGTCGTTGTCGTTTTCGTCTTGCACGCGCACATCCAGCGTGCACGTGTCTCGGCGCGACGGCGAGCCGCGGTCCTGGGCGGTCACCTCGAGTCGGTACGAGCCGCGCGTCTCGCGGTCCAGCCGGCGCGCCGACAGCGCCCCCGTCCGCTCGTCGATCGAGAACTTGTTGCCGACGTTACCGTCTGAGGAGGGATGGCGTGGTGAGAGACGGCGGAGAGAGTAGAAAAAAGGAAAAGGCAGAAAAAAGAAGAACCGATGAAATACAATTGACTTGTTTTCACAAGCATGCTAATTGGGAAAGACGAGTTCCCAGGCGCAGACATGGTTACGTGGACAGCTCACAGACGAAGTGGCCGTAGCTCTTTCCCTCTTGACTCCCAAATGGATCGTTATCTGGCGCTGTGGTTTTTACCTCAGCGACCATCATGTCGGCCTAATAACGCCCGGATGATCCGCGGGACCGTGTGGTGATAAATATCACTCCAACCTGCGTCAGCGGTGTACGGGAGCTATTTACCAGCGCCACGAAAAAGTGGCTCAATGATATCAGCCTATCGGCCAGTTTTTGTGTCCGTGATATCACACTAGGTTCTATGATGCCCACAGCAGCAGCCCGGGCGCGATGACTGACTCAGTCACGGCCCCAGTCAGGATATGGTGGGACGAGCTGACGCGCCAGGTTCGCTGCCGGTCGGGGGAGGAATAGTCAGCGCGGCGGGATAGCCACCGACCTGTGATGCTGTAGGTGATCTCTCCGTTGATACCCGTGTCGGCGTCCGACGCCACCACGTAGTGGATGACGGACTCCTCGCTGTTCTCGGGAATCCGCAGTGGGTAGCACGAACCCCTGTGGACACCCAATACAGGGTGTTCGCGAAAATATGTCATGATTCTAATCGCTTTGTAGGAAAAATTGCTTGAACGCACGTGCACGTATTTATGCCCATTTGACAGAGGACATTTTCAAGTTTTCTTTCATGTGCATTTTAATTTATAATATTAAAAATCTTGCCTTGCACAGAGCGAAAAACAAATATCGCCAAAAAGCACTTGGATTCGATACCCGTAGTTTCCGTGCTACAACAGTTCGGTGCATGCTTTGATGCCTCCGCTGCACCCCTTGTAAGGCGATTTTTTTACTGCACATGCAACTTACTACCAAAGTGATCGTTAGAAATCGAATGAACCCTTGAAAGTCCGAGAAAAAGAATTATTTATAGTCATTTAAACTACAAAGAGATCACCCATTTGGTCAACGAGATGCCTTCCCTGACCATCTGCGAGCTCGCGCAAGATGCGGGGTGCGGTCCAACATGTCTCATTATATTATTGATAATGACATGGGGATTATACCCTACAAGGTCAGGAATCAATAGGTGCTATTTAGGGTAGAAAAGGGCTAAGAATTTACTTTGCTTCGAGGATAAAAACCCAAATCAATTCTGAGCACCGCTCACCGGCCACGCCCGGTCAACCAGTGAAGCACACATCCACCTTCATGGAGGCGCCGACGGCCAGAACAAACGGTTTGGGTAGATATGCCACCCTCAAAGGCTAGGTAAGAACACCAGCTCCACAGTCCGAAGGTCATTGCTTGATTTGCGATAGACGCTCATGGTGCCGCGAGGCCTTCTTCTTAAGACTTCAAATTGAAACACCAACATTGCCGCTGAAAACTGCTGCGTGGGAGTGCTCTAGAAGTTTAAGCGAGAAATGTGGGGCAACTCGGGGCAAGACAATGGTCAAAACGCTGCAGACATGCGCACGGGTAGGATGGGTTCAAGTCCACACTTCGAAAATTGCACTCCGGTGCCTAAACGAAATGCTAGGGCCCGTTTCTTGAGCAGGAGGACCCTTACCCCCTGGTCGACCCATTCACTTGGTGTCAGCCCCATCGGCCGTTACCTGTGGGATATCTGAAGTCCAAGGACTACAGGAAGACAGCCAATAATCTTTCTCGGCTGATGATAGTGATTGCAAAGGCCGTCCGTGTTCACTTATAACACGTGCGTGCGAATGAACCCTTATGTGTAATCTCTAGGTGATACGTGCATCCGCCGAAAAGGGGTTCATATTGAAAACAGCGTGTGGGGTGCGCCCGGTTTGACATGAGGCACTCATACATGTGTATAACAAAACTTGAAGATCCGGGCAAGACATTTCAGCAAGACATTTGATCCTTGCTTATTTGAGCTGGCGATAATGGCGTAACGAAATCATGACATATTTTTGCGAACACCCTGTAGATACACGTCAGCATTGAAGGGACTCTAGACACTAGACAGAAGACAGGTGCACAGACGGCGGAGATTCAACTCATGACAGTCATCAGCGAATTTGGATCAAGGTCAGAATATAAACACTCAGAATCTGGGCACAATCAGCTGCCAATCTACTGGGTCAGTACTGCGTGAATAGGGCCCCTCCTCCGCGCATTGGCGCTAGCCCACGCATCGCCAGCGCGCCTCCGCGGAGCGCGCAGTGATTTGCGTTTCTGCCGTCTCCGCCCTCCGTCGAAAACAATGCATCTCGGGAGGGACGGACGCACAAGGTCAGTCTTCCCCTCGGCCGTCGCCACACCCTCACTGGAAACCATTTCAGCGGTGATAACCATCAGCCAAACCGCGCAGCCGTTACGGCGCAAGTTTTGCCTGAGTTTTGCGCTCTATACAAGTCTACCCACCCCGGGCCGATCGTTTTCCGTAGAACTCTCCGTACCTGAGCTCCGGCGAGTGGTCGTTTTCGTCGATGACGTTCACGATGACGGTGGCGGCGTCGTACTGGGCCGGCGAGGAGCCGTCGCGCGCGTACACGGTGACGTGGTAGCGGGCGGCCGTCTCACGGTCCAGCGGTTTGGTGGTGGTGATCTCACCGGTACGTGGCTCGATCTCGAACACCGAGTCAGCGATCCCGGCCGGGATCAGGTACGTGGGGTTGCCGTTGGAGCCTGAAACACAGCGTCACGGTCAGGTGCGTGAACAAGGCATGGTGTGGGTATATGGCGGTAGACAATGTGCGTATAGGACTGGAGACAGCACATGACAGGGAGAACACGGAGGGTGATGGGGTCAACGGGGTAACGTGGTAATACCGGCAGCTGCTTCCTAGAACAGCTCGGAATGGTAAAAGTGACGTCAAGGAAAACTGCTTCACTACATACGGTGTTGAACGATACTCGGTTGACTGAACGCATACGTATGCTATGAGGGCATTGGTACTTCGTAATGCATTTTCGTGGTAGTCAGTCATCAGTTCAGGAACACTCTAGTCCGGCTGGTCCAGCGATAGATTTATCAGGGCTCGTATCGACCTGGGCGCGCACAAAAACGTCTGCCCGGTCCGCCCGACCGGGGCGCTGTCCGCCGGTCCCAGGCACCGACAATGGCACCCTACTTAGCAGGCGCCTATTCATCTCTGGACGCAAAACAGTCGATCGGCGCCGCTCGGCCGACACCGGACACGGCCGGCCACTCGGGACGGGCGCCCACGCCGGCCGCGGCGGCGACAGCGGACAGGGGGTCTCTGACAACTGGCCATTGGTGGTCTCAGTCCTGTCCAGCCCCGGTCCCGCCGGCCGCGGCGGCGGCAGGGGACAGGGGGTCTCTGGGAACTGAGCGCTGCCGATCTCAGCCCGTCCAGTGCCCGCCCCAGTACCTGACCACTGACACCTGACCAGTGTCTGTCTCCTCTGTCGGTCCCCCTGTCCCTATCAGTGGGTGTGGTACTCGGCACTCACCCTCGTCTCTGTCGGCGGCCGAGACGCGCGCCACGAACGTGCCCACGGGCGCGCGCTCGCTGACGTTGGCCGTGTACACGGTGCGGCTGAAGATGGGCTGGTTGTCGTTAACGTCCTCGACCAGCACGGTGACCAGTGCCGAGGCCGTCAGCGGCGGCTGGCCGTGGTCAGACGCCGTGATGTTCAGCGTGTAGCGCTTCCGAGACTCGCGGTCCAGTGGCTTCCCGATCGAGAGCAGACCTGGAGAGGGGGGGGGGAGTGTCAGTCTGCACTCATTCAGACGGGGCAGCAGGTGACTCATGGCTGGCGGAACGGGGAGGGGTCAGTGTCAGTCAGAGGGCGACTCGTGGGTTCGCTCACCTCCAGCGAACGGAACTGGTGACATAGCACGGTTTTACAGCGATTCAGATTACTGAGTACATTTCCTGCCTCCCGTGACCGGTATTTAGGCGGCACCCCTATTGCGTTAGCTCTCTTTTTGCAGTGTGGCTACAGAGTCACGTTTGTAGCATGCCTTTGTATAGGCAAAGAAAATTGCAGGAGTGCCATGTAATTCAACGATAGCCGTTTTTTCCTGATGCGTTGCGTAAGAGTAGCCCCATATATAATTAAGCTCAAGGTACGTATTTTTAAATGACCTGCTTGCTCACGAAAAATACTGACATTGTGCCAAGGACTGGCTATACGGGCACCGACAGCTATTATTCAGGGCGGCGTCAGTCTGGATCCCCGTACTCCCTCGTACCCTCGCCACTCACCGGTCTCCAGGTCGAGGCTGAACACGCCGTCCGGGTCGCCAGCGCTGACCTCGTAGGTCACCCGGCCGTTGTCGCGCGAGTCCTTATCCACAGCGATGACGTGCAGCACCGGGTATCCGACGCGCTCGTCCTCCCTCACGGTGACGCTCTGCCCGGCGGCGCGGACAAACACGGGCGCGTGGTCGTTAACGTCCTCAATGATGATCTGCGATGTGACCGAGGTGGAGAGGCGCGACGGCTCGTCCTCGCTCTGGTCCGTGGCGGTGACGATGATTGTGTACTCGGCGTGCACCTCGTAGTCGATGACCTCGCGCAGGGTGAGCGCGCCCGTGTACTGGTCGATGGCGAACACGGGCTCCGGTGACTGCTGGCTGATGCTGTACCTGTGGAAGCCGGGGAGGAGGGTCCGTCAGAGGGCTGGTGCGCGGTGGGTAACGGTTCATACATCAGCGGCGACCCGAGACATATCTGGGATGAACGGCTTGTAGTGTTGGTTCGCAGATCGGCTGCATCTGTCGCAACTGTGACCTCAATTGAACGGTCCGTAGAGATTTGCTGTATCCGCGGACTCTGCGTTGTGGGAGGTGTGTTGCTGTGCCGCCCCGGACCTACGCCTCGGACCGGCGTCTGACCGCGAGGCGGTGCCAGGTCGACACGGCGGCGCCGCTCCGACCCAGGCACGAGCGCCGCTTTCGGTCCAGTAATCCTCGGAAAAATCGCCGTTTCGTGCGGCTACCTCTCGGAAAGCCCTCAAAGCTGACGGTAATGCGGCCACGCAGGTATCACGGAACATGCGCCAACGCGGAGCGGGCGAACGCCCGGTTCTAACAGGGAGGCGATAGAAAAACAGCGGTGTACCGCCAAAGACTGGTCTAGCATCTCCACCCGCGAAAATACCGTTACTCCATGGAATCGTGTGAATAATGTGAGTACATTGTGATAGATCAAAACAGCATCGCCCATTCTCTGTGTTAATGAGCACCATGTCACAGCTAAATGACCCCTACCCAAAGCCGCCTGATTATCAGTTCGCGCCAAAGCACCGGGTCTTTGACTTTAACTAATTATCGTTAGTATTGATTATTACGGAGGTATGGCTGGTATTTTACCTTCATTAATCACAAACCTGAACTATGACAGCCGGATAATACCTCCTTCCGGGATCAGGATCATGGTTTGATGCCGTAACACTGCGCACCATATTCCTGTTGCTATTCGCGGCTTGTATTCACGACGTTTTGGGCCGGTTGTTGCCGATCAGCTGCGGTGAGCGGGACCTGTTCTGGCCGGTTCTGGGGCCTGCTAACGTCAGCAGGCGGCTGCCAATCACCGTCCGTGAGCCGTCCACGGATAAACAGGCAGTGCGCGGCCGACCGTGGCCGGCCGTGGTGGAAATAATATGCACCACGCTCACAAAACAATGCATGAGCTCAGAGAAGGTGCTGAGCTCAGCCGAGTCCGATCCGACAACAGCCGACTCGGGGAAATTCCGGGAGCCCGGACCGGTCGGCCATTGAGCCTCATTGTCACGCTCCGGACGGAATGTATGCGGAAAGCAGCTCCCAGTCAGTTTATGGTGTGGCTGAAGGCCAGGGCTGGTCAGCCGTATCAACATTCTGACCTACCGGCCTGGCTAGAGATCGGGGCTGGACTTTGAGTTAACTTTACTCTGCTTGCCCGGTCGAACACCGGGAAATCAGCTGTAGGAGGATATGATTCATTATGCTCCCTGGTAGTTACTTTGGTATGTGCGGTCACTGTCTGCGTCCCTCTTCTTACCTAGCCACAGCGTCCTGACCGTTTTACTTTATGATAAATACCCCGTCTATCAAAGTCCCCGCCTGCCTCCCCATCACTGCGCAGTACGTCCCGTTGACCCGCCGTCACCACCCGCACCACTCACCTGACGGTGCCTGCCGGGCCGCTGTCGCGGTCTGTGGCCGAGAAGTTCCACACGGCCGTGCCGGGCGCCGTGTCCTCGCCCACAGAGAACAGGATCGGGTCCTCGCTGAACGTCGGCGCGTTGTCGTTCAGGTCCTCGACGCTGATCTTCACCGTGATCTTGCTGTTCTGCGGGTTGGTGGCGCTGGCGTCCACCGCCTCGATTTGCAGGAGGTACTCGGTGGCCATCTCGTAGTCGACCTAGGGGAGGGAGGGTCAGTCAGTCAGGCCCGGAGGCGCGCACCGGACCAGTCTATACGATGTGTCAGGGTGGTGTGCAAAACGCCGCTTTGGTAGCACTGACTTTGAAGGCAGTATAGAGTAGCTGACCTGCCCCTCCTACTCCGGAGAGTTCACTCCGTATGAGGCTCAACAAGGGTGGATCGGATAGCCATGTTGGCCAGGCAAAAATGCCGTGAAGAAATTGACCGGCTGAGCCGGCCCGGTGTTCGGGCGAAGGCCTTGAACGGGATCGTCGGTCATGCGGCTCGGCGGTGAGCCAGGTGGCCGGCACTGGATGCATCTTGTTTGACATTACTTGTGAGCGTTACTCGAAATATATTGAAACATGCTTATGACACGAATACATTTGCATCAGGTATGGAGATGACATTAAAAACAACACGTGCAACTGTTTTCGTTGACGATCAACTGCTACCGAAGGCGGCGGTATACTCGTATCTGCTGCAATATTAAAATGCTTGCCCACCTGGCGCGGCTTATCTGAGCCCACAGAAGCCAAACCGGTGACTTCTGACTGCCCGGCCGGCCGGACCGGTCAGTGGTTAGCGCACTCACCTCTCGCGTGGTGAAGAGCGCGCCCGACGAGCGGTTGATGTCGAACGTGTCGTTGAGGTTGCCGCTGAGGATGGTGTAGGAGACGCGGCCGTTCTCGCCGGCATCCCGGTCAATGGCTATGACAGTACCGACCTGGCGAGCGGACGGACCGGAGCGTCAGAGCCGGCGGGCGAACATGACATTATTCATACACGTCAGAGAGTAGTGCTACGACCCGGCAGCTGTCAGTTATTTAGGGGCAGACAGGTGACGTTTGACAACACAGCTGTGGGAGGGCCAAGTTCGGGTAAATGTATCACAGTCCTGGCCTGTCCAGGTACGGAGGCTGCCGGCTGGCCAGCCCGCGGCGCTGCCATGTCCCCAAACCCTGTCTCGGCGACTGTGTCGTCTCGGATGGGACCAGCTCAGCCGAGCTGAGCTGACCGCGACATGATGGAGGCGCACCGGGCTCGGGCTCAGCCGCCCACCGTCGCCAAATACACTGGCCACTGCGTCACAACTGGACACAGCAGAATAACTGGGCAACGGTATAACTCTCAGACTGCATCTATAGATGAGGCGCGTCTACCTACCGAATCTAGGCTCGAGTCTCTCATCCGCCCGCCGAGTCTCTGTATCAGCGGCAGAGCCTAGGTTGTCGGCGGTCTCACCTGGAAGCCGATGGGTGAGTTCTCTTTGATGGTGAAGGCCAGGCTGGAGGTGGTGAACGTCGGCGAGTTGTCGTTCAAATCCAGCACCTTGATGGTGAGCGGGTGGGTGGCCTGCTTGGGCCGCGAGCCACCGTCACGTGCCACCACCAGCAGGCGGTACACTGACTTTTCCTGCGGGTCATACACAGGGTCAAATCGCTGCTCCCGCCGGAAGCCCTCCTCTCCCACCCACACCTCGTCCCCCACTCCCCGCCCGCTCATGCCCCCTCCCCCGCCCCCAGCTGAGCTGCGCGCGAATGAATGGGCGGCGGTGGGTCGGCCGGTCGGACAGCGGCCCCCGCCAGTGACACAGTTGCTATGGCTCGTTATACGTGCGGACATGACGGCTGCACAGGGCCGCCGGCCGCCGGCTAATAATAAACGTTAGTAATCGCCGACCGCCCGGCGCTCCGGTGTCGGCCGCTGCACCGGCGCCGCGGCCGCCGATTGTTTGTTGGCCAACAAACGTCAGGATGCCGCGGCGGGCGCCGCCACAAACAGAGCGGCTATTTACTGCCGGCCAGCTCCGGATCGGCCGGTGTGGGACCGGAGACACGGCGGCAGCCGCGGCCCGGAGCAGTGACCCGTGGAGGGACGCGGCGCGGCGGACTCACCTCGTGGTCGAGCACGCGGGTTGTGGAGATGGTGCCACTCTCGGCGTCGATGGTGAACGCGCCGTCACTCTCGTCGTCCACACCTGGGGACAGAGGGGTGGAAGGGTCAGAGGGGATCTGCGGAGCGGCAGGGTGAAGAGCGGAGCTGACCGTCAAACAGTGGTTCAGCAGCTCAGGGGCCGATCCGGCGACTGGAATGACGGCCCATTTCGGCGGCAAGCTCCACCGCCACGAGGTGCAGAGTACCGTCGCCCGCTGCCGTGAAAAAAGCGACGGTTTGTCTGTCAGAGTCCCTCGTTTTCGCGGCAGACCATTGCTGATAAGCGGGTTTGGTCGATCATGATCCGTTGTTTGCACCTTTCAGCGCCCACCCCCGCCTCCGCTCGCTATCGCTAATCACACACTGCCCGCCGCTGGGCGTCTATGGCCGTCTGTTGGCGCGCTGAGCCGTCGCTGCGGCCTGCACGCGGCGGCAGAAACACACACACAGTCCGCCGGTCTCATGATGGAGCGTCCGGCGTCCGGCGCCGCCGTGTGCTCAGCGCAAACAGCCGGCCGGCCGGACCGACCTTGGCGCGCTATCGGCGGCCGGGCCGGGAAACTGGGGCCGACTGCTGACGCCGCTCGGCCCGGCCGGAGCGGCGGCGTACCGCAGCGCCGACACCGGGCGGGGCTGCCCGGCCGCCGCCCTTGGCCGCCGCGAGCTCAAGACAAAGCCGCGCGCCGCGCGGAGCGAGCTGCCGGCTGCGGTCGGCAGCTCGGCCGAGCGCCGGGTCTGATTCAGTGACAATGGCGCCCATTGGCCGCCGGCACGGGACAGACTAACTGCGCGCCGCGATTTGTGGGCCGTTGTCCGGATGATAATGACACTCTGAGCTGTCATCTGACAGCATCAGTGCTGACGGGATGATCCCCGCTGCAGCCGGGCGGCCGGACGGAGAGCACCGGGAACTGCCGCGGTCCGTCTGTCTGTCCGTCTGTCCGCTTTCGGACTGTCCACTGTCCACTGTCCACTGTCCACTTTCCACAATCCACTGTCCGCTGTCCTCCGTGCTGGCCGCTGAGGCGAGTCGTCCGCCGCCCGCCGCTCGGCCATTGTACCCCGATTCCATCAAGGAAAAACGGCCAGTGCCAGGTAAAAACAGGCTGGCTGACGGGTCGGGCGGCGCCGCCCCGCTGAGCGGCCACACGACACCGGCATCGCGGCCTCCGCCGACTCCCTGACGCTCCGACAACAGCGAATACCGGTTGGAATAGTGACATTTAAGTAAAAGACTATAGAACAAGCAACAGTTACGTGGTTACGTACTGAAATATGATATGCCTTTGATTATCCTACCGAGCATAATCAATTCCGGGAACATATATTTTATCCTGTCTTTATTTTCTACACCTGTTAGGGCTGTTGCAGTCATTAACAATAAGCAAAACACAACGTTCGCTCCCCGTGATAAGATCTGGCGGCCCCCGACTGCTGCTGACAGCGGAGTGTTGACTGTAAACCAGTGTCGCATATGGGCTGTAGCCTGTATTCACAGCAGTTCCGTACCTGGGCTGAAGCTGTAGGTGACTGTGGTCAGTGTTAACTATACGTATCAGTCCCGTGCCTGGGTTGAAGCTGTACAGCAGTTCCGTACCTGGGCTGAAGCTGTAGGTGACGGTGGCGTTCTCGCCCTCGTCGGCGTCCGTGGCGTGCACCTGGACCACCTCGAAGCCGGCCTGCTGCTCCTCGCGCACGGTGATGACGCCGTCCAGCGGCTCCAGGAACTGTGGCTTCGAGTCGTTGTCGTCCAGCACGCGGATCTGAAATCGGGGCGATTGAAAAAGTCAATCTTCTGCTGGGAGTGGAAACACGAGCTGCGTAGAAAATTACAAACCACTTTGGTTGGCACCTAGCCACGGCCATGGCAAATGCTATCCTAGGGTTTGTGTAGTGATGTATGGGTGTGTTACGTTAAAGTCTCCCAGACGGCGACTGTGCTAGGGCCCGATATTGCGTTGCAGTTTCCGTAGAGCAAGGCACACGTGCCTAGTTGAAGTCGCTGGATCGGGCTGGTGTTAGTGGCTTGTGGAAGATTGCAGTCATTGGTTGCTGGATGGGGTTGGTGTTACGTGCTGCTGAAATATTGAAGTCGCCAATTGCATCTTTATAAAATGCCCTGATGGGCCTTTGTATCAGCTTTGCGGGTAATGCTGAGCTCCAGTGCCAAGCATCCGAGCCAGCTGCCCTTTATCGTCACTAAAAATGTCCGCTGTGTCCCCGCGGTCCCCGGTGTCCGCCCGCAGCCGTCCGGTTTGCGGGTGTCCGCGGCGCGCGCTACCGACGACACCGGGTGCTAATTAAAACGTCCGCTGTTCAATCGCAGCAATACCGTGGATTGACAGCATTGATAAGCGGCTTGCGCGCGGAACCGGTCGGTGCTGAACGCAGGCAGCCGGCCACCGGGGCGGCCGCCGCAGCCGCAGCCGGCCGGGCAGCTCCGTCCGGCCGCGGCAGCCCGCCGGTTACCAGCCCCCCGTACTGTGGGCGCCGGTCCGCCGCCGACCCGGCAGCTCCGTCCGGCCCTCCGCAGCCGCAGACGCTCAGCGGAGGTTTTTACCGGATTGCGATGGATCACGAAAGGCTGCCACGACAGCCGGCAATTACTGACGGCGGCGGCACGGACTCGAGAGCCGGCCGCTCGCCGAAAACGAACTTAACGCCCGGCGCGCGCCACCCGATTGAATGGTGTTTGTGGGTGTTTTTGTCGGGGCCAGTTGTGTGCTGGCGCGGAGGCGGCGGTGGCGCGAGGTCGAGGTGCTTACCTTGACCACGGTGGAGGAGCGGCGCGGCGGCTCGCCCTCGTCAGAGACGTCCGCCGTGAACTCGTAGAACTTGATGAGCTCGCGGTCCAGTCGGACGGCTGTGCTAATCTCGCCTGTGAACGGAGCGGGTCAGAGCGTGTGGCCAGTCTCAGTGCACAGCAGTCATGACGCGGTGTACTCACATGTCAATACACCATAACTGAACGTCTACAATGGTTACCGGTGACGTAGACTCGATACGGCAAAAACGGGCCTTATGTCAGACAGCCGAAACACGAGGATGATTACGCAAAGGGACGCACAGCCGGAGGCATTAGGAATTATTTAAGGCTGGTAGATAATGATTGCTGATAGACAACAGCTAAGTGAGGTGAACTATGGTGACATGTATTCACCCGAAAATGTTAGGAAGGTACAAGGTAAGTAAGGCTCGTGTGTTAAGAAGGATTTTTTCCCACCTTTTTTATCGCAAAGACTCCTAGAACCTTCGTCAATAAACATTTCAGCGTGTTCGGTGGGAGCACCTGTCGGTGACAGCTCCGCTCGCCGGGTTCTGTGTCCGGGTCCGTGGATACTGGACCGTGTGCGGGGCCGGGGTGCCAACTCTGAGCCCTCGGACACGCAGTCGCACAGGTGCTGGAGGCGCGACACACACCGTTAGTCGCCGGTCCCGAGTCGGCGGCGGCCGGCGCTCTGCCCGAGCAGCCCGACAGCCGGCCAGATAAGGCCTCCGACACTGGCGACGAGCTTCACCCTCGGACCCGCTCACCGACCGCCGGTCCCCTGCTATGGAAATACTGCACTCTGCAGCGCTTGTAGCCTATCCATTCAACGTCGGTGTGTACTCAACAACATTCCTGCGGCTCGCCATGTGGCGAAGGCACACTTCCACGCTAAAAGGGGCGACGGTCACCTTCTCTGGTCGGGAAGCCCACTGATCGTCCAGTTCTGCTCAGCTGAGCTCGCACTGACCTCGGTTCAGAGCAGGTCGGCTCTCAGTGACCTCAGGTTCGGGCAGAGGAGAGGACGCCTCCCGGCTCGGCCGGAGCCCGCCTCCCCAGACGGGAGTGTCGCGCGGCCCCGTCCGCCGGCCGTAATGAATTTCTATCAGATAGCGCGAGGAGAGCGGCCGACACGATAGGTGCATCACCCAGGTGGGCAAAAACGGCGGCGGGCCGGCCGTCGTCCACAGGTGCTAACGGGACCGCGGCCGGCCGTCCCGGCACCGCCCGACAGGACCGGACGGGGCCGGCGCGGACACCTCGGCAGGACCGGACGGGGCAGCGCGGACACCTCGGCAGGACACCCGGCGCCGACCGGCCGGCTGGGCTACACCGCCCCAGCGGCCACCCAGAGTGCACGCAGTCGATAACGCATTGTGGACTATAGGCACTCGGGTTTTTGGGCGCCCTGGCCACAGCTCATTGTTCACGCGGGTATCACCAACTCTCTCCATTGTCCGGGTGAGAGAGTGCGTCCCGAAAAAGGGCCGTCTTTAGTGGTATCACCATCATAGCATTGTTCGTGGAGCGGACGCCATGGGGAGTCAAGTGCGTATTTACATGATCACAGAAACACTAGAGAAACATTCCGAATAGTGCTGATGTGTTTTGTCACGGAAGTGAGATGTCCAAGAATAGAAATTACTAGCTCACGCTCACGACTGTTGAGGCAGCAGCAAGGCGGTTAGGCCCAGTTCCCACCTGTTCGGCAGACCGGAGAGGGCTCGGTTCGGTCGGCGCTGAGCGGCGCACGGTTATGACCGACTGTTAGCGGCGCGGAACTGTCGGTGGATGGGTACCGGGTACAGGACGGGACCGGGCCGGACCCCCCACCCTTCACCCGCCGGAGAACTGACCTGTGCGCGGGTCCACCTGGAAGCTGCCGTTGGTCGGGTTGAGCGTGTAGCGCAGCGACGCGTTGGCGCCCAGGTCGCGGTCGGTGGCCGCCAGAGAACCGACCGGCGTGCCGGCTGGCATGTTCTCTGTCACGGCGAACTCGTACGTCGTCTGGCTGAACTCGGGCGAGTGGTCGTTCACGTCGAGCACGCGCACCAGAGCTCTGGCGCGCGCGCTGCGCGACGGCGTGCCGTTGTCGGTGACCTCGACGGTGAGCCGGTACAGGTCGGTGGTCTCCCGGTCCAGCTCGCCCTTCAGGTACAGCCAGCCGCTGTTTGGGAAGATGCCGAACAGTCGGCCGGGCGGCTCCACCAGTCTGTAGGTGAGCCGGGCGTTGTTTCCCGTGTCGGCGTCCGTGGCGGTCAGCTGCAGGAACTGCGTGTTCACCTCGAGACTCTCCTTCACTGACACCTGGTACTCGTCGCGCTCGAACTGCGGCTCGTTGTCGTTGAAGTCCTGCACGTCGATGTGCAGGGTGAGGTTGGTGGAGAGCGGCGGCGTGCCCGTGTCCGTGGCGGCGATCACCAGCTGGTAGGCCCGCCGCTGCTCGTAGTCCACCTTCTTCACCAGCGAGAGCGAGCCGTCCCTGGCGCTGATCCCGAACACGCCGTCAGGGTTCCGCAGCAGCCGGTACCGCACGCGGCCGTTCTCTCCAGAGTCGTGGTCGCGCGCGTGAGCCGAGTAGATGGCCGTGCGGAGTTCCGTGTTCTCCGGCAGCGAGAGCGTCGCCTCGACGGCGTCAAACTCGGGAGCGAAGTCGTTCACGTCGCCGATAGTGACGTTCACCTGTGGGAGGGAGTCAGAGGTCAGAGACGGGGACGGGTCATACGTCAGAGAGCTCGGGCAGGACCGGAGAGGGAGAAGGCAGTCGGGCGGGCTGCGAGCCGCAGCCGGCGGGCCGGCCACGCGCCCTCCCAAAAGGAAACAGCCGCTGGTCGGCAGCGCTAATCTTAATTAATCGCCGGGCAGACGCGGCCCACAGCACGGCGCACACAATCGGTTTCGAAACAGAGGTGCGTCAGACGGCTGCAGGCCTGCAAAAAGGCGTGAGGCAGCGTGCCTACCCGTCCAGCGGTGCTGCGGTGCGGTGCCTCTCCGGCCGCTACCGCTGTCACCGTCCCGTGGATCATTTTTTTTTTTCGGCTTGCCCAACCGAACAACACAGCAGGCTCAAAACTCAGGAGGCCTACAATATCCCAGCCTGTGCACTGAAAGTATAACCGCGGTATGTCTCCAGCGGTTCTACTTCCTGCTCCCGTCATGCGGTGGCATTCGAGTTGTTCCTGAACCACTCATTTTACCGGTGGTTTTGGCCGGTCAGTGACCCCAGTCAATAGGACCAAAGGAGAAAAATAATACACCCACCTCTAACCGCCACCCAGTCTACCTTGCCTGCCTGTGTCCAGGCCTGTGTATCAGCCTTTCCTGACTATCCAGAGCTATATCTGGGCCTTTCCTGGCTGGGTCAGGGGCCTCACCTGGGTGTATCCGAAGGTGGGTCTCTGTGACCGTCCCTTACTGTGTGTGTCTCAAGGTGGCTCTCTGTGACCGGCCCTTACCTGAGTGTGTCCGAAGGTGGGCGGCCGGCCGGAGGTGGCCTGCACGTTCAGCAGCACCGAGCTGTGCTGCTCGTGGTCCAGCTGGGCGGCCGTGCTGATCTCGCCCGTCTTCGGGTCGATGGCGAACGCGCCGTCCGGGTCGCCCGAGTAGATGCTGTACCGCACGGCGCCGCCTGGGACGGACACAGAGACGGTCAGCGGGTTAGACGGGGTGGGCTGGTCATAATGGGCGGGAAAGGCGAGCAAACCTGGGGCGTCTTTAAATACATTGTACAATGTACAGAGAATGCACATTTGAAGGCCAGCAGTGAACTGTTTCGCTTCCATTTAAATCATTCATGTAAGGAAAAAGAAGCATTAGATTTGCCGACGGAAGTTTGCTACTGTAATGAATCGTTATCGAATACTTACATTGGGTAAAGACCCAGTACACTGGGTGAAACCAAATGTTTATGCATATTTCAGTGACGGTAGCTTATGATCTATATTTTACCTTGTTTTACCGCTCTTTGTTTCTGAAGTATGACCGTGTAATTGTGCATATTTATGCATTGTATGTGGCCAGCTGTTCGATGAGACCTATTGTTTTACCGGGTATCCCCCAGCACAGTGTTTACCGTCACTGGCGGCCGAACCATAAATGCCAGTCGACATCAGGGCATCGCCAGTTCACGGTATAACCGCAGCCAACGCCCTGCCGTGCAGGTTCCTATGAAGCATGCCTGTCCGTTCGCTCGTCAGCCTATCTACTCGTCCGTTCGTCTAGGCATCTGTCCGTTCGCCTGGCCGTCCGTATGCCCGGCCGTAAGCTCGTCTGCCCGTCCGTCCGTCTGCCCGTCTGTCCGTCCGTCCGTCCGTCCGTCCGTCTGTGCCTTTGCCCGTTTGCCCGTCCTGGCAGCCAGCGGGTCCGTTTTCCTGCAGCCCGGCAGTCGTGCAGTGCCGTCCCCCGTCGCATATCGTCTTTGATCAGCGGCGCCAGGTAAAACTGTGACAGTGGCGACCATATGGGGACGGCCGGGCGGGCCTCAGCGGCCGCCACCCGCAAAAATCCACACTAACACCGGACCGCGCTCTCCGATGGACAGATACACGGCCCCATTTTTGCCGGCCGGGTCGCCAAAAGCGGCGGGCTTTTGTTAATGGCCGCTCGGTGTTGCTGGCCCGTTCTGGGAATGCACGTGTTGAGCGGCCGGGGCGGCCGGGACAGCGGGCGGCGGCGGTCACATTCCCACATGGCAGCGCGGCCGGTGTCCGCTGTCGGAGCCGTACAGATGGGCCCATTTCAACATGTGTCGACGGGCCATGTTCGGAATGCCGCGCAGGGTCGGAGACGGAAACCTTCAAACGAGCCACCCGACCCCCGCGTGCCGCCCGGCCCGGCGGCTTTGTCCCAGATCGTGTTCACGCTCAAAGCAGGTGCTTGTTCGCCGCTCACGCATGATTCATGTTGGCGCAGTTATATATGATATCTCCATGAGACTGCGCCGAAAGAACACGGCTCGAAGGGGAAAGTCATTTGTCTCTGCGTCGAGAATTCTGATGCGAAATATCGCAGAACATGCTTCTTGTATTATGAACAAGTTACCACTTCTCTTATCGGATTACGAGTTGAAATATGTGTTCAATTTGCATGCGAACAACGGGAACATTCCGGTTTCATATTGCAAATGTATGCAGCTTTCCGCGCCCGGCGCCGTATTTGCATGTATCGGCGGCCCCACGTGTCGGTCGGGCTGAGGCCGCCTCCCGAAGGGCAGGCCGCCGTCCGCTGTTCACTGATACATCGGGTCCTCTGTCAGCGGGTGGTGTCGGACCGCTGCCTTCCACTGTCACCCGGGGCTGACCCGCGCCAGCAGCACTATCCGTCCGCGCCGCGGCCATGTCGTTTTCATGCCCCGCCAGGCCCATGCGGCGCCCGGCGCTGCCCGCTCTGAGCCGCCGCTGCAGGTCGGGCCGACGGCGTGCCATTCCGCCTGACGGCCCCCTTGTTTCCCAATAGCCGTCTCAGAGGCTCCGTTTCGAAAGCATACCGATTCGGTTCACTCAACGCGAAGCGACAGCCCGGAAAAGGAAATCAATTATATCACGGTATTTTCACATTATCTGTAAAGAATCCAGCATCCTGCCTGTTTCATCATCTAGCTTTTTGTGGACCCCTGCCGCTACTACTGACCATTACCCCGTGACCCCGCCTACCTCAGCGCTCCCGCTCCTTCCCCCCTCTCTCTCTCTCCCTCCCGTCCCTCTCGCTGCTGCCGTAACTCACCGGACTGTCGGGAGGTGGCGCTGACCGCGCCCACCAGCGTCCCCCTGGGCACGTCCTCTCGCACCGAGTACGAGTAGCGCGCCCGGTCGAAGATGGGCGGCTGCTGGCGGGTGTCGATGACGCTCAGCGAGATCTCGGCGTTGACGCGCGACTTGAGGCCGCCGCCGTCTGTGGCCTCGACCAGCAGGTGGTGGACGGTCTGTGACTTGGTCACGGCGCGCGTCACAAACACCTGGAGGCAGGGCACAGGTCGGGTCAGACAGGGAGGGGGACAGGACCTGGTCACGGCGCGCGTCACAAACACCTGGAGCAGGGGACAGGTCGGGTCAGAATGGGAAGGGCAAAGGACGTCACAAACACCTGGAGGCAGGGGACAGGTCGGGTCACGGCGCGCGTCACAAACACCTGGAGGCAGGGGACAGGTCGGGTCAGACGGGAAGGGGGACAGGACCTGGTCACGAACACCTGGAGGCAGGGGACAGGTCGGGTCAGAATGGGAGTGGGACAGGACCTGGTCACAAACACCTGGAGGCAGGGGGCAGGTCGGGTCAGAATGGGAGGGGACAGGACCGGGTCACAAACACCTGGGGGCAGGGGACAGATCGGGTCAGAGGTCGTACTGAGGGGACATGGCCGGGTAATGACTAACGAACACCTGGTGACAGGGCGGGTACAGTTGGACTTACGGAGAGGGATGGACTAAGTCAGATTGAGGGGGAGAAGCTCGGGTCAACCTGACGAGGGATAGGCCAAGGTTCAAAAGGACTGAAAACATACAATACAGACTGGAGAGACCTGGGTCAGACGTCAGACTGACGGAGGAAATCCACTCCATCCCGCCATCGGCACTCACCTCGCCGGTCTCTCGGTCGATCCGGAACAGGCCGCGCTCGTTGCCTCCCACGATGGCGTAGCTGACGCGGCCGTTGGCGCCCGAGTCGCCGTCAGTGGCGGCCACGACCACCACGGGCGCCGAGCGGCTCTGCGTCTCGCGCAGACTGACGTTGTACTGGCGCGGGTAGAAGGCCGGAGCGTTGTCGTTCACGTCTCCGACCTGCACCTTGACCATGGCCGTGGTGCTCAGACCGCCTGGGGGAGGAGAGGTCAGGTCAGATCAGGTCACGTCGCCCACCTGGACCTTGACCATGGCCGTGGTGCTCAGACCGCCTGGGGGAGGAGAGGTCAGGTCAGATCAGGTCACGTCGCCCACCTGGACCTTGACCATGGCCGTGGTGCTCAGACCGCCTGGGGGAGGAGAGGTCAGGTCAGGTCACGTCGCCCACCTGCACCTTGACCATGGCCGTGGTGCTCAGACCGCCTGAGGGAGGAGCGGGGCTGATTCGTAGCGTCGTGGGTACTTAATGAAGACAGATATTTTGGAAGTGTATCACTTTTCACATTTTAGGTACTGCAGTCTCTCTGTCCTGGTCATGCGCGATACATACGGTACAGCCGAGCAATGAGCATCGCAAGGCTATCTGTTTAGGAAAACGCTGTGCCCCATGACCCATGTGTGACCCATGACTCTTTGATCGCACGATCGGCGGATGGTGAACTCTTCTATCATTTCAGAGCGTTTCCCGTGCTGACCGAGCGCTGGCGGTCGCGCTGTGACCTTTGCACGTCCGTCCCCCTCCACCAGTGTCGCTGTTCCAGCGGGTTTGCATTTTATCACAGCCCATCACAGTGCAGCCGGCAGGTCCCATAGAACGGAGCTGATTCATCGTTGGTTGGCTCCGCCGACCGGCCATCGGCAATGGACACCGATGTTTGCTTTCGGGCGATCCGAGTGAAGCGTCAAATTCGCGGATGGCTCCATGGTTTATTCATGGGCTGGGAGTGGAGGGCCGCTGGGACTCGCACCGTGTGACCGGCCTGGGAAATGGACATGCGGCCGCTATCGGAAATCGTCCCACTCGAGCTGCCGTGCGGCTCCGATCGGACACGGCCGGCGCCGATAGGCTGATGGACCCGTGTAGCTCCGGGAGAGAACACGTCTCCGAGCTCCCCAATTACCCGACTTCATCGGGGACTCCAGAGACAGTCCCAGGCTGCAGGAGCGGAGCGCTGGCGCCGCGCCGTCCGTGGGCTAGTTGGCGGCGCAGTGAACGCACTGCGCGGTGCAGACCCCGATTCGGAGAGCCATCCGTCGCGCGCGTCCAAGCGCCGCCCGCGGGTGTCACCGGCGGGGCATACCCGAGGCCGCGCACCATAACCGGCAGCAAAAATCTAGGCGCGACGAAAACGAATTCGTTTCATGCCAATGCCGGGCCGATCTGCAAGTCAAGCAGGTCCGGCGCGATGGTCTATCGGCGTCCCTGCAGACTGCGGCGGCGCGGCGGCGCGGTGCCGCGCGGAGGGCCGGGCGGCCGCGCGCATACCGAGCGCCGCCGAGCCGCGCCGGGTCAAGTGTGTCACCTTGTTTTACAGCGGCGACACCGCAGACGAGAGCACAATGCGACGGGCGCGCGCCCGAAAAACATGGAGCTGCGCTGCATCCGGGCCGCCGCGCCATTGTGAAAGCCCGGCGGTTATTTGTTATTCGGCGCCGGTACCGCAGCGGTACCACCGGGCGGTATAAAACTATGAGCAATATCCTCCGGTTTCTTTGGGAGCGCCTGCAAAGGCAGTTGATGATGATCGGTGGTCATTTGTCCGTTTTTGTCGCGGTACATGGGCGACGAGAGAGGCACAGAAAGGCCGCATAATTGGCCCGGCACAAGCCCCGGATAATGGGGGATTTCCTTTCAGTGCTTTTGTGCCGATACTCGACCAGTGAATGTCGCCTTGTTCGCTCCCCTCCCGCGGAGCGCCGGCCATGTCCCGGGTAATCCTCGGCCGGCCGGCGGTGCCAGAGGCGCGCCCAGCGGCGGCCGCTCGGGCGCCGCCAGACGCCGGTATTTCCGCACCGCCAACAGACTCTCCCCGTTCCCAGTAACCGCCGCTGGCAGTTCTCTCTGTTCTAGCAGCGCGCATGAGTGATAGCCTGCGCCCGCTGCGGCCCTGTGGACGGCCTGTCAGCGCGTGTGCTATCTGCCGCGCCCTATCGGGAGTCTCTCTCCCACGCGGGCCGCGGTGCCGCCCCTGCCCTAATCTCCGCCAGGTAGTGTTTGAACAGGGTGCCGGCCTGGTGCGGGCCTTCGACAACAACAGCCGGCCGCGTCCCGGTCAGCGCCGCCAGCGGAGCGGGGCAGGGCGCAGGTAAAGGGACGACCACATGGTCCGGCCCGGACGGATAGTTTGGCTGGGAGAGCCTGGGACGCACCGGCAGCTGTTGGTAAGCTGGGGACGAACTGCAGTGGGTGCTGTCTGCCGGTGACGGCGGCGGCTGGGGACGGGCCGGTCCTCACCACACCAGTTCCGGAGAGTGCCGTACGAGGTACGACATCAATCAGCGACGCGCAGCCATCAGGCGTCCACGACGCAGCCGCAGAGACCAATATCTCCTGCGACCGGCCGCTCCTATAAATACGTCTGGTCGGGCTCGTTTTTCTCTGTCTCCGTTGCGTGCGGAGCGAGGTGGGAGACGGCGAGGTGGAGACACACCGAAAAACGGCGGCCATCGCGGCGCAAAAACGGCAGCGGCAGAATGGCCCGGTCCCGCCTCTGAGAGCGAGCCGAGGTGTTATCTGCGTCCGGCGTCGGACAGAGGACAGGCGACAGAGGACAGAGGACAGAGGACAAGAGCCAAGAGGACGGGGACAGAAGGTAGAGGACAGGGGACAGGATAGAGGACACGCACGGTAGACTACGTAGTTAGATGACAGTGGACCGAAAACGACTGGTTACGGAACGCTAAACACAACACATTCTCATACAAATGACTTGTTCACAGGATGTGGTAAAGGTCAGTTCGTGGCGGATGTCACTAACCAGAACATGTAAAACGCTGCAGAGGGTCGGACATAGTTCAGGTTACAAACCAGGCGTGACCGGAACCGGAAACCTCAGAGATGTGTGATCGGGCCGGGCCCTGTGTTCGCAGCGGCTGCCCTCCCGGCCGTGTCGTCTACGTCAGACGTTTCCTGGCGCTGTTTTCCTCCCATTGATGACTGTGGCGGCCACCGCCGCGCTCGGCACTGCTCTCTTTCGCCCTGTGGCACTGTCGCTACCTCCACTCGGGGCTATTCCCTATATCCGTCCGACACTGTCCCCTGCCTCCGTCAGTCGGCCAGCGCACCTCAGTATTTCTGTCAATGGCCCTCGGTGCAGTGGGTGAAAATGTTGGCCGTTGTGTCAGACGGCTGACAGACCACGGTCTGAGACCCCTTCGTTGGTCGATGAGTGTCGAGTGAGTAGGACCGACTAATAGAGCCGGACGTGTACGTCCGTCGACCCAGTCGTCATTACTGAGAGGCACCACCAGCCGACCGACACCGCTCCACTGGCGGGTTCGATGACTGTCCGGACTGCGGCTTTGTGGTCACCGCTGGAATGGCCGACCGGTATCAGAAATAATAGCCGCAGCACAAGCTGCTCAGCACCCAGATGATACATTCCGGTTTACGGTGTCTCTCGTCCAGCTCTCCACGGCCGAAAGGAGGTTGGGGTCCATGGCCGTCCTCCGCCGGGCTGCCCGGGACGGTCTCCGCCATCTTGTTTGTTTGCTCCGGGGGCGTGATCGGAGCGGCCCGGCCGGTCCGGTGACCGCCGGCGGGGCCAGCGGCGGCGGCGGCGGCGCCTGTCCCTCCGAGAGGACCGGCAGCTCCGCCTCCTCCGCTCCGGTGACCGGCGCTCGGCCCAGCCGTCCCCGGACCGGCGCGGCGTGCTGGTTTGTCCGTGGTTCCGTAAACATCCGGTCGGCCGGGACGACCGCGGCTGGCCTTTGTCCCTGCCGGCCGGCCGCGCGGGAAAGGACCGCCGCGCGGATTCGGTCATTAATTTCTGACCCGTGACCCTGCCGGAGCGGCCGGCGGCCGGCGGTGGCACCCGACAGACAACTATGCGCCGAACGCCGGATCCGACGGCGGCCGCCGCAGGTCGGCGGTCAGCGCCGAGCTAACGACACTGGTGTGACGGCGATAAGAGCCGGACTGTCGGCTGACAGGACCAGACTGTCCACTGACGGGTCCGACTGTCAGCCACAGGACCGGCCGGTGCTCGGTCGGGCCGCGGCAGGGAATGGTCGTGACCCCGGCTGCCGGGAGGTCGCCGCTCGGAGCTCGACGATCGCTCGCCGCCGAGCTGACGGCGGCCGGACGCGGCCAGCCATCCATCAAACTGTCATTAGCCGGCCGGAGCGTGTACTCAGCGGCCGGGAAACATGGACGGCGCCCGGCGCGTCACGGCGAACAGCGGCCGTGACGCGTGACTCGGTGATGTGCGGCGTCTGACGCCTTGCTGGGTGACGTACGGCCCCGTGACGCCACCAGTCGGCGGCGTGGTGAGTGGCCTTTCTGTGACTGCCACTCGCCAGTCTCTCCGTCAGCAGCGATGGCGTGTGCCCCGGGATGGTCTCTATTGATCCCGGAGGCTCGAGTGGTCGGAGGGGTCTGACCTGGTGACGACAGATCCCGCCGACAGAGGACGCCTTCACAACAGGTGCCTGCTCTCTTACCGCCGGGTGCCCGCTATTCAGAACCACACCGACCCGATCATCCGGGTCACATGTGAGTGCACTCTGACACCTGACTCTGACACCTGCCGGGTCACACCTCGCCACTATGTACAGCACTGAAGTGGTATCACTCTCACTGCCGAGTGTTCTTCAGTATCAGTTCCACTCTGCAGCCCGCCCGCCACGCCGGGCCGCCGCGCCGTCCGTGGCCGATGACGTCAGCGAGCGGCTCTACGGCGCACGGAAGACGAATGTGGCGTGATTTCGGCCATTTCGGTGCGTTGTTGGACGGTGACGCAACTGTGCCGGACGATTTGTTCACCGAGCGGCGGCGGGCGGGCGGACTGATACAGCGCAGCCCAGTCGGCGGGAGAGAGAGTGCCACGAGTTATGTCGTGGCTCCAGGACCGCCTACCACGTTAAAAACAACGCATCTATTTTACTTTCAACTGGCCGAGGCCGGCGGAAAAAGTGGCAGCCCTACGCATCTGGCTGGACCGCGCGCACGCGCCCGGCAGTCATGAATATAAACCAGTTCATAGAGGTCCTGATTAGGGCTGGGCGCGCTCCCTGCTCCGCTCTCCCTCCCCCCGTCCTCTCTCCGTTCGCACGGCGCTCCGACCGGTCAGTGTCGGCCCGGTCCGGACGGTCGCTGTTTGTCGGCACGCCGCTCGACACCGGCCGGAGAACCGCCGTGTCACCGGGCCCGGTGTCGGAGGATTGCCGCGCCGCGCCGCCCCGGCCGCCGCCATTAGACCTAATAGGCCGGCACGGCCGACTAATCGCATTTTAATGGCGCTGAATAGAGAAGACGGATCCTTGGTTTTGGTGCCGGTCGCCAGCGCCGCCGGCTGCCACGCCCTCGGCTGGACTCGACTCGCCAGGCCGGACTTCGAGTCGGGGAGTCATCGACTCGTGACGAGCTGTGAGTCCCAGCTGAGCCGACAGTGACTCATGGAAATCGCCTGAGCTGTCCGATATCGTCAAGTTCCTACTCACGGCTGTAGTTGTTTGTTAATCTGGAAACAATATTCTGCGCTGCCCCAAATCGGTAACCTGAGCTGCTCTTATGAACTTGGAGCTGACTGAAAGTAGGTACCGTTGACTAGCCGACATGCCTACACTAGGACACAGGACTCTGACCAATGTCCATCATCCATCTGAGGACGGCCACTCACCTCTGTCCCTGGCCACCACGGGGAACTCGTAGATGGCGCGCCGCTCGTGGTCCAGCGGCGCTGAGATGCAGATCTCGCCCGTGTCGGCGCGGATGCTGAACGAGTCCAGCTTCTTGAAGCCGTGCCCGATGCTGTAGTTGACCTGCGCGTTGACGCCGCAGTCCGGATCGGTGGCCGAGACCTGTCGGGGAGGAGGGCACGCTGTCAGGGGCTGGCCAGGAGCGCAGAGGCGGCGGAGCGGACGGGCGCGTCATCCGGAGCCGTCCTGGGACCGCCGCCGGCCGGCCTCCATCAGATAGGCGTTGGCCGTGTTAACACCGCCGGCTGGATCGATACATTTAAATGACACGGCCGGCGGGTCAGCGACCGCCGCCATCGGCGCCGATCGGCCAGGTGGGCGAGACGTTTTTGCTGGCCGCCGGGCCGTTTTTTGTCTGTTGTGACAGGCGGCAGTGGACGGAGAGGTGACGGCTGCAGAGTGGCCGGCGGACGGCCCACCCGGCCGGCCGGCGGCTCCTCTGGAGGGAGGTGGTCACTCCGAGCACCGCGACCGGCGGGGAGCTGGTGGTGGGAGTGGGACACTGCGGGGAGCTGGGATGATCTCGTCTGCTCAGGATTACGTTCTGGGATTGTCAGCGGGGGTGACAGGGGACGCTGCCCATGATCGTAATAACTGAAAACCAACAAAGGCGCCGAATCCTAGATTACGTCCTTTGCTGCAATCTGACATGGTCGCTCGACATTTTTAAACCGCACAGATATTTGGCTCCCGTCAGACGGAGCGTTGACCCGGACCCGCTGCACCAATGACCCGCTGTCATACAAACTGCAACGGTCGGCCTGGCCATCCGACTCAGTTCACCAGCCGCGGACGCTTCTGTCAATTATATTAGTCCACAGCCTACGTCAGTGGCGGTATTAGTTTGATGCCAGTGGCGCTATGAGTCAGCGTTTGACGGTGAGCTGTCGGCGGGGAGTGTGAGCTGTCGATGCTGCGGGAGCAGACCGTGTCGGCTGACCTGTCCCCGCTCCCACGGCGCCGAGTGTCGACGGACCGGTGTGTGCGCCGACCGCCGAGAGCCGCTCATCAGCGCGGCCAATTTGCCGCACCGCGCCGCTGTTTCGCCGCGCTGCGCCGCCGACCGTTAGCGTTTCTTCGGGCAATGGCACCGTACACCAAATACGGCGCGATGAAGACATCTCCAGCGCGATCGAATGCCGCCGGCCGGCTTTAGAAACGCGGCATCAAATACCTCGAACAAAAAAGAGCGAAGCGTTTCCATTCGTACAATAGAGCGCGTCGTCTCGTTTACGGCTTAATTGCTTGTCGGGGCTGTAAAGCAGCTCGGTGCCGCTCAGAAGTCGGCGCCGACTTTTACGGCACCAGCTGGTGGCCGCGGCGGCCGGCTGAGCCGGAGGCCATGGGACGGGACGGGACGGCGGCGCAGCTCCGGGCCGACCGGGGACTGAGCGGAACACCCCGACCGACTATCATCGGCCGGCGGACGGCGCTCATCCTCGCAGCAGCGCGGCGGCTTTCACCCGCCCGCTCCGCCGTCTCCCGGGGGTGGGCGGCTCGTCAGAGCCAACATAACCACCATGTTTCGGGCGGCGCTCCGGTAACCCTTGGCTGCCGCCGCCTCTCCGGGCGCCAGCTGAGCTGCAAATGGCCGCTCGCTTTCTTCATAATAGTGGCCAGGGCTGGGCCGGCGCCGTGCCGACGCCACACCGACAGCTCCGCCGGCCGCTGACGCCGCCAAGCTCGCCATTCAGTGCGAAATGCGTGGTTCATGCGTCGACCGTCTGTAATCGGGCCGGGCGACAGGCGCGCAGCGTGGGGCGCGTATTAGTTGAGATTGCTGCGCCGTTCGGCTCGATCGGCCAAATTAATCATCTGCGGCGCACGGAGCCGGCGCGTCGGAGCGACCCTGAGCGGCGCGCATGAATACATTCCACCGGGCGGACGCTGCGAGACGCCGCCGGAGTCGGGCGAGGGTGGCTGCTCTCGACCGTGCTGATGATGGCTAGGTACCACTACCAGCCGCTAGACGACTGACGACTGACTAGTGAGAAACTCACCATCAGAGCAATCACAGGTCAGAGTAATGTGCTCGGCAGCCGGGGAGCTACCACGACCGGTCGGCAGCGGTCAGCAGCGGCCGCCTGCTGAGGCCGATGACCGGTGCAGTGTGCGTGCCCCGCCGAGCCCGCCCCCGCCGGCGGCTCGGGATTCGCGTGGCTGCGCGGTCGGCCGGGTACGCTTCTTGCGCCGCGCTCGGTCGGAAGCGTCTGCTCAGAGCCGTGGAGGCCGGGAGGGTTCCGAACAGGGCGGCGGTGAGTCGGATCGGGCGTCCGATTGGCGGCCGCTTCTGCCCAGACGTCGACCGCAGCGCTGAGGACGTCTCCGTTCTCGCACCTCGACCTCCCGGCCATGCCCGATTATCGAGTAACGGATGGATTATATCAGAAATGCCTCGCAGAGGTCATTAGTCAAGCGGGAAGGCCCGCGGCCGACGGGCCGGCAACACCGACACCAAAACAAAAGCGCCGCACCGAGCGCCGCCATGGCCCGGCCGCGCCCGCCAGGGGCGCACCCAGGCACGGTCGGACGGCGGGTGGCAGGGACGGTCACAGGGACACGGCTGGGGAGGCTCAGCGGGGCGTCCGTCAATCCCACAGCGAGTGGCTCTGAATCCGAGGCCTCATGACGCCCCTGACTGCGCAGATGAGCCAAACATAGCGCAGTGCGAGGTGCTCATCGGCGTCCGAGCCTAACCGCCATGAAGGAAAGACAATGCGAGGCGTGGCGCGGCACGCTTTCCACGTGTGACTGTTCTCGCTCCAGCGATCGCGCGACGAATCAAACAGCCTCCACGGGCGCGGGCGTTACACGGGCGGGCGACCACGGGCCTCGGTACCGCACGGAGGTCCGGCGGCCTCACTCGCAGCGGCGAGACGGTGGTAAGGAGCACACCAGTGATGCAGTCAGTACGCCGGCCGCCCCCGCCCCCTCCGTGTACCGAGCCTGTCAGCGGGAGGGCTGCAGCCGAGAACTCTGCTCCGGAGCGACCTTAACTGCCCGTTCGGCTCGCTCCCTTCAGGTTCCTAGCACAGAAGAAGCCGGTTGGGCCGCGCGGAGATGTGCATCAATGGGTGTCAAAATGACGGAAAACTTCAGACAGAAGAGAAGCTGACAGAGGAACGTGGTCAGCTACATGTCAGGCATCTTAGTGGAATCACACAACTCCCAATGGCCTGGTTTAAAAGTACCGCTACGCCCAGGGCTTACGCAACGGAATCGGCTATCTCTCTGAAACCAGCAGGACATACATAAAGCCGGGAAATTATGAGTGGAACAGTGTTGGACGTAAACCAGGGGGCGCCCGATCGGGTGAACGAACGCGCAGCAGCATCCGCCGGCCGGCGGCCGCGGCGCGCTCCTCAAGCGGCCGCGCCGTAAACGTCCGGCCCGAGGACCGTTCCAGTTACTACACTGGACTGGCGGCCGGCGTTCCGGGAAGCCGGGCCGGCCACCTGCCACGGCCGCGCTGACCCGCGCGCCGCCCGCCGTCACCGCTGTCAGCGATGGGTCACGCCGTCACCCGGCCACTAATCACGGGCCATTGGCGCGGCCGTGACACCTCCCCCGGTCGCGTACCGGCGCCGCGGCCACCGAGCGGCGACCACCGCTGCAACAGATTCTCCTGAAGCCGACCGAGGTGGCTCCCCGGCGCTCGTAAAGACAATGGCAGAAGCCGGCCGGAGGAGAGGCGGCGCCGCGCGGCCGCCGCCGGCCGCCTTCGCCGAACTCATTGGCTGCCATGGCAACTAGCGCTGATTGCGTGCCGGCGGCTGCAGCGGCGGTGGCGGCGGCCGGCCGGCCAATGGCGCCCGCACGGCTCCCTTCGCACCGTTCGCCGAACGGCGTGCTCCGACCCTCCGCGGGAGCGGCGCGTTCGCCGGAGCCGCGCTGCGCTCGCCGCAGCGTCTCCGCAGCCGCGCCGTGCGTGTGCGCCGTTTGCGCGCAGCGGAGGCCGCTCGCTGCGCCACATAATGACAGCCGGCATGCAAGCGCGGCATCAGGGGCGGCCGTAATGGCGGCCGGTCCTGGGTCGGCGGGCCCACACGCGGCCGGCGCCGGGCCGGGCCCGCGGTCCGCCGCTAATAAGCACGGTCGCCGCCGCCACCGGGCCGCGCTCGACGAGCAGTGTCGCGCCGGGTCGCGGCCGCCAATAATGAGTTATTTGTTTCCGCACGCGGTGTGGCCGCGGCTGCGACTGTGACTGTGAGAGCGGTGCTCTGATGACGCGCCGTGGGTGGCTGGGAGTGGCGACGGCGGCCGCGACCCGCGCCCAGGCGCCCTCTCATTGACGCCGCGCCGCGCGCTCATTAATGCACTCTAACGAACGGAACAGATACAGGACGGGTCCATTAGTCGGTGTCGAACAAAGCCGTCTGGCCTTGATAGCAATGCCGAAAAACAGGGGCGGACGGGGTGACATTACACGCTCCGTCGCGCGGAGAGCGGCTGACCGGTCGGGAGCCGGAGCCGCGAGCCGGGAGCCGCGCCGCGCCGCTCGGGGAGCCGCCGGGAGCCGCGCCTGTCTGGAACCGATCGGCGGCGGGGCGCTGCACGCGGCCGGCAGCGGGGCCGGCGTCCAGGGCCGGCACTAACGCGGCGCCGGCACGCGAGCCCAGCCCCGGCGGAGGCCGGCACCGGCGGGCCACAGCGGCCGGGGCCCGGGTCAGCTTATCGAGTCCGATCGTCTGGGCGCTGCGGCGGCGGTGACGCGCGCACAGCGGAGAGCCGCCGCCCGGCGCCGGGGCGGGGGCGGCGGCAGTGACGCGCACAGCGCCGGGCGGGGGCGGGGGCGGCCCCTGCGCCGGCGGCCGTCTGGGACACGTCAGCGGGCGGAGCTCGGCGCCACCGACCCTGGTCGGCGCTCATGGCGCGGCGTCACGCACGGCGCACGACCCACCCCGGCGGCGGCTGGAGCGCCTCTGGGAGCGACCGAGGGCCGTCAGGAGCAGACGGCCAGAGCCCGGTCTCCTGCGCGGAGCTGTCTGTGCCGTCATCGGACTGGGGAGGCCAGACAAGGCGCATTACAAATGTCCTCTCGCGGATGGTCCGACTGGTTACACCACCGCGACGGGAAAAGGGAGGCTGGCGGGGCGCACATC